CCTATTATTCTCCCAAAGGACAATCACATTACAAACCTGATCATGTCTCACTTTCATTCAAAGATTTGTCATCAAGGCCGAAGCCAGACGCTCATGGAGATCAGAGCAAATGGGTTTTGGGTGATTGGTGGGAGCAAAGAAGTTGCAAAGCTAATAAGCAGATGTGTTCAATGTCGAAAACTTCGGCGGTCTCCTGAAGAACAGCGCATGTCTGAACTACCGAAGGAACGAATTGAAGTCTCAGATCCTTTCATTTACAGTGGAATGGATTGTTTCGGACCATTCACCACAAAGCAAGGTCGTAAAGAGCAAAAGAGGTACGGACTCCTCTTTACCTGCCTTTCCTCACGCGCAGTCCACATTGAAATGCTAGAAAACCTGTCTACAGACTCTTTCATTAATGGCCTACGATGCTTTATCAGCTTAAGAGGAGCTGTCTGTAAGTTGTACTGCGATCAAGGTACAAATTTCATTGGGGCCAAAAATGAGCTAAAGGAGGCGCTCAAAGAATGTGACAGAAACGCCCTGCAGGCTTTCCTTGCAGATAAACAGTGCGAGTTCGTATTTAATGCCCCATCTGCCAGCCATGCCGGAGGTGTGTGGGAACGACAGATTCGAACCATCCGCAGTGTTCTCAATGCCACCATCGCTCAATCACAAGGCAGGCTGGATGACACTTCCCTAAGAACACTGTTTTATGAGGCAATGTCTATAATCAATAGCCGACCACTAAGCATTGATGGAATCAATGACCCTAAATCACCTGAACCTCTGACTCCAAACCATCTCATATTAATGAAATCAAAGGGTGCACTGCCTCCTCCTGGGAAGTTTGTGAAGGAAGACTTGTATGCAAGAAAAAGATGGCGCAGAGTGCAATATCTAACGGAACAGTTTTGGAGTAGGTGGAAAGTGGAGTACCTTCTGAACATATCCACAAGACAAAAATGGCACCTACCTCGTCGCAATCTTGAGGTAAATGACATCGTCATCATAAAGGAAGACATGCTTCCCAGAAGTCAGTGGCAACTGGGTCGAGTTGTTGAAGCACCACAAGAGGATGATGGCTTGGTGCGCAGAGTCAAACTTCAAGTTGGTGATCGAAATCCAGCAAAGAAGCAGGGTACAACACACAAACCTCACATTATTGAAAGACCTGTTCAAAAACTTGTAGTTCTTTTAGAAAGTCACTAACTGATGCTCATTAGTCTCACATCAGATATTACATTGCTGAAGGTTAATGTGTGACGTTAACTGTATTTTTGTTTGGTCACTTCTTTAACGTCCATTTGTCATGCTTAAAATCATGCATGAATCGTTAATAAGCTCTCATCATACATGATTTGGTGGGAGTGTAAATGCCCGTTCCATGTTTTATATGCTGATTCTAAGTTGTTACCCATAGTACCCAATATGGGCGCTGTAGTTTGGTTCATGTTGAGTTAGTGCCTTCATTTAAAACTGTAAAATGAGAGGAAGTGTTGCTAGCCTCCTGTCAGTCAGCGCTTTGGGTTGAAATATAGAGGAAGAGGAGGATATTCTTCACCTTAATGACTCTGGACTGTAGCGCACATTCTTAAGAACAGGCTAAAGGCTAAAGGCAGCACCGCACGGACTTTACCGCCATAAACTTTGCAGCCCTTGGACAGCGGAGCGAGGTACATGTTTAGAGCTCTATTGTGAAGTTAGCGTTATTATTATAATGTATTCATGTTTTGTGTCAAATAACAGCACTTAAGCAAAATGTATTTTATTCTCTTTTAGTTTTCACGGTGTATTCGAAGCACGGTATGTTCAGTGCACTTCAACAACTTGGTTTGGAAAGAAGTAAATACGAAGTTACTGCACCCGTCGAAGCTCTCCGTGTTTTCTTGGGTCTGAGGGACTGCTACAGACACTAGCCTCAAAGGGGAAGACAGAAAATAAAAGCCACAAAAATGATTGTGTGTGTAGTTATGAACTCTGACCCTTACAAAACAACCC